TGTTTGAGGGCCGTACTTAGGATAGTGAGGCTGCTGACCTTTTAGAGGTCCTACTCATCACCAAGTGGCAAAGTTTTCACCATGTACCACACTGATTTACTGTTCTCTCCCTGCAAAATCATCCTTTCAGGGTCTGCTTTGGGATTGTTCCATTGGGGGTTGCTGTGTAACAGTGTGTGATCAGCAGACAGCTGCCAGGTTGACCCTGTAAGGAACTTGACTTCTGGGAGAGCTGAAGTGAATCCCAGGTGTTACAGATGTTGTCAGGCTGGGCGTCCTTTGTGGGAGATTCTGATACAGCTCATTAGTTAGTGAAACTTAATCATTATTAGAGTGGTGAGGGGAAAGTAGAGGGGAGACTGGAAAAGGGCAGAACTGCCTGGGGAGGGCTCACCTACAATCTCTCTTTGCAGAGTTCTTTGCTGATAATTTGGGTGACTTCTTCATTTTCCTGCGGCGTTTTGCTGATGACATCTTGGAGACTTCGGCTGATTCCCTGGAGCACATCCTTCACTTTGTTACTGTTTTCATGGGTGATGTGGAGAGGTAGGTACAGCCCTAGCTGCAGCTCTGGGTGTTCATTGCAGAACACCCAGGGGGAACAAGCAAGTGGAAATTGCAGAGCTGTTTTGAGGCTTGGCTTGTGCAGCCACGAGCAGGTCGATCCCTTTGGAAATGCTGAATTCTGCCCACAGGAGGCACAAAGGGGACAAAGCCCTGTCTGGAGGCCATGGGCTTTCGTGCAAGGTGCACATGGGATTTGGGGCTTAAATATGTGTTTGGTAGTATGATGCAGGAGCCTCATCAGCTACAGCCATTTTGTACTTGCTAAAGGAAGTTCCTGGGATTGATCTGTCGGGAGTGTCTCTGTGATGTCCACTGAACAGAACTGAGTAGTTCTGTCGATCTTCCTGACGAGATATCACCCTACACTCTGCATTTCTGCTGTTCATTTGTTTACACTTACGTGTGTAAACACAGCTCCTGGCAGCAGCAGGAGCAGCTGGAGGTTTCCCTTGGGTAGGCAGTTCTCGCTGTTCTGCTGTCCCTGGGAGATGGAGGCTGTAGTTCTTCCTGGCAGTGCCCTACGGTGTCACCTGGGGCAGATGGTTTGGCTTCTGCCCCACAGGTGCAGCAGAGTTACACTGTGGCCTCAGTGTTTGGTGCTGGACAGCAGGCAAAGCACTTGGACTGGCAGGATAAATAGAGGGCAGGACCCTAGGCAGTAGGAAAGCAGCTGGGATGGTCAGTGAGGTTTGCCCAGGAGCTCCAGCTGATGAGGAGCCATGAGCTGTGAGCGGGAAAGCTGCTGTGGGAGGGTGGGAGCAGCAACTTGGCTGTTCCCACACTCTCTGGCCTCTGCCTGAGATTTTACTGTGCCACTGAGTGCATGTGAGTGAGCTGCTGACCCAGAGCTGGCTTTACAGATGGTCTGCAGCAAGCAGGCACTCGAGCATGGATGGGCACAGCTCCTGGAATGATTCCTGAACAGCTCAGTTCCACACCCTAGCCCTCGTGCCATCCTGGATTCACTTTCTTTTTCCTATTTCAGGATGAAAAATCCTCACCTGCGAGCCAAGCTGGCAGAGGTGTTGGAAGCTGTGATGCCTCACCTGGATCAGGCCCAGAACCCGCTGGTCTCAAGCGTGTTCCATCGCAAGCGGGTGTTCTGCTCCTACCAGCATGCTGCCCACCTGGCCGAGGCGCTCATCAAGGTCTTCGTGGACATCGAGTTCACAGGTAAGCACAGAAGGGGAAGAGTTGTGTTCCCTGTGGGACACCTGTGGGGGAATGTCCACTTGTAATGCTCTTTGGCTTGCGCCCAGGTGACCCACACCAGTTCGAACAGAAGTTTAACTATCGCCGTCCCATGTACCCCATCCTGAGGTACATGTGGGGCACCGACTCCTACCGGGAGAGCATAAAGGTGAGGCAAGAGATGCACGTGTGTGTGTCTGTCTGTGTGTGCAGCACTGTATGGACCATGTGGGTCCATGTCCTGCAACTGGGACACACAAAATTCACTGTTTGCTCGCTCCTTGCAGGCTTTGGCTGATTATGCCTCAGAGAACCTGGAGGCAATGAACCCCCCTCTCTTCTTGCGCTTCCTTAACCTGCTCATGAATGATGCCATTTTCCTATTGGATGAAGCCATACAGGTAGGGCTGAGCTCCTGTGCCACCAGCATCACATAAACAAGTTCTCACTCCCCAGAGACGGCTGGGTGTGGTTTTGACCTCCAGAACAGGGTCAGCTCGCCTGGCCCTGCCCGGTGAATCTGTGTGGTAGACATTTGCAGGAAGCAATTCCAGGCTGGTGTGGCCAGTGCCCTGGGAGAAGGGGGGAAGGCAGGAGGAAAGGGGGCCTGGGGCCCTGCCTGTGGGTCACCCTTTCCTCCTTTGGGCTCAAGAGGCAGCTCAGAACCAAGAGGAGCAAAAGGGCTTTTTCAGATCCATCAGGAAGCACACTGGAAAATCTGCCTGTTGCTAATCTGGACGAACTCGGGCTTTAAACGATCACTGTGGGTTTTGATTCTCAAATCCCCTTGGCCTTTCCACAGGTGTTTTATCCTAACAAAGGCCTTTTGTCTCCAAGCAGTTCTCCTTTGGGATTACAAGGCAAGTGCCAGGTGACCTCATGTCCCTGGTGTGCGATGGCTGTCTCTCACTCCTTTCAGAGCTGCTGTTCCTGCTAGAAAGGGCTTTTTTGGGGAGCTTTTACCTGCCCGAGAACTGATTGCCCTGAGGCCAGCAGTTAAGCTGGGTCATGTGGATGTTGCCTGTCTGATTTTGAGTGTTTATGGACCTCCTTGGCTTTGCCATCCAACCGAGCCCCCTGGGTGTTCTGTTTTGCAGTACCTCAGCAAGATCAAAGTGCAGCAGATTGAGAAGGACCGGGGCGAGTGGGACAGCCTGTCCCCGGAGGCTCGGCGGGAGAAGGAGTCCAGCCTGCAGATGTTTGGGCAGCTGGCACGCTTCCACAACATCATGTCCAACGAAACCATCGGCACTCTGGCCTTCCTGACCTCAGGTAGGAAGAGTGGCCCCTCCTGCCTGCCAGGAAAGGGTGGACAGGAACTTGGTTTCACAGTGATCGGAGCGGGATGGGATTGCTGTGAAGGAACTGTTGTTTTCCTTTCCAGAAATCAAGTCCCTGTTCGTGCATCCTTTCCTTGCTGAGCGCATCATCTCCATGCTCAACTACTTTCTGCAACACCTGGTTGGGCCTAAAATGGGAGCTTTGAAAGTGAAGGATTTCAGTGAGTTCGACTTCAAGCCACAGCAGCTCGTGTCTGATATCTGCACGATCTACCTAAACCTTGGGTAGGTGATGACAGGGTGTGAGCCTGTGGGGTGGCAGTAGCCATCCTGGGGGGATTGTGGGAGAAATGCTTAGTTACACTCTAGCTTTCCTCTAGCTTTGAGTTTTTTGCTGTGGGAAAGCAGCTGCTGTAGGGACTGTTTTTCAGCCCTGTAAATATAGATTCTTAAACCTTTGCTGTCTTGTAACCTGTGGTACAGGGATGAAGAAAACTTCTGTGCCACAGTCCCCAAGGACGGCCGCTCCTACTCACCGACACTCTTTGCCCAGACCGTGCGGGTTCTGAAGAAAATCAACAAGCCTGGCAACATGATAGTGTCTTTCAGTAACCTGGCTGAGAGGATCAAGGTGAGCACTGGAGGGAATTTAATGTACAAAAAAAGATGGAGCTGGTTCCCTGTGTCCTTTTCCCTCTGTGTATTGCTGTGGAGCTGGATTTCTGGGAGTGGGGCTTTGTTCAGGTGGGGCAGCTGGGAGGGCATGCTGCCCATACGGACTTGTGAGTGCTCCCTGGTTTTTAAAGAACGGGGAGGCCGAGTCCCTCAAAGCCCCTGTGCTCCCCAGTCTCTTGCAGACAGGCAGCAGCAGGAAGAGGAGACGTATGCAGACGCCTGCGATGAATTCCTGGATCCCATCATGAGCACGCTGATGTCAGACCCCGTGATCCTGCCTTCCTCCCGCGTCACCGTGGACCGCTCGACTATAGCCCGACACCTCCTCAGGTGCGCGGCACAGCCCTCCTGCTTGATACCTGTGGGGATCTATTTCACTTATCCAGTGACTTTTCCTGGCCTGTCTCCCTCTTTTTTTATCTTTAATGCCAGGAGTGTCCAAATAATCTCGTCAATGCTTTGTCTTTCAGTGATCAGACAGATCCTTTCAATCGGAGCCCACTCACTATGGACCAGATCAGACCAAACACAGAGCTAAAAGAGAAGATCCAGCAGTGGCTTGCAGAGAGGAAAAAGCAGAAGGAGGAGCTGGAAGACACGCTGAACTGAAAACCTTGATCTTGTTCCCAGTCCTCCCTTCACAGGCAAGATCAATGCCATGCGGGGGAAATGGCTGGAGCTGCCACCCTGACGACGACCACATTTAGTGCATTGCCACCACCTATCGAGTCTCTCCTTGGACCTTCCCTTCCAACCCCTGTTCTCTCTTTTCCTTTTAAGACTCACTGTTTAATACTGAGACTTTCCACTGCACTACAGCTTTGAGCCTCTGCCTCGGGGCAAGGCCACAGCCTCTTCTTCATGGCCTGGTGCCCCAGCCTTCTATTACCTGTTCTTTGTGTTGGCCACGTTCTTTTCCAGTGACACCAAACGCCTCCCTCTGTTCTTTTCTGTGTTTAAACTGTAACCATCCGTTCACTACCTGAAAGTGATGCCTCCAGCTGCCCCCAGGGTAGGACATGGGGAGGGACTGGAAGGGGACTGTTCACCACCTTGTAAAGGCCAGGGGTGTAGAAGGGTGTACTTCCCAAGTGATCATTGGGAACGGCAGGCGTTGGAAATAAAACATAGAGATGATCTTAAAGCTAGTGGTTGAGGTCTGGCAGCGCCGGGAGCTGTAGACAGGGACTGGGTCGCGAGTGGGGCGGTGCCGGCCCCGGGCGGGTCTCGAACCCGCGGCCCCGGCGCCGCCCCGCCCCGGCCCGCCCCGCTCACGTGGTGCGGGGTCCTTGGCGCGGGCTGCCCGCGGCGCTCGCCGGGCGCGGTGACCGGCGGTGACATTGAGCGCGCAGCGATGGCCAAGGCCGCGCAGGGGCTCGTGCAGCGACTCGTGCAGCGCGGGCCGGAGCTGCTCGGCGGTGAGGGACCGGGAGTGGGGACGGGAGCGGGGAACGGGCCGGGGGCGGCGGGGAGCGCGGTTGGGGAACGGGGCTGCGGGAGGCGGGGGCCGGGCCTGGGGAGGCCCCGCGAGCTCCCGCCGTTGGGAAAACACCGTTCCCTCTCTCCCATGTCCTCTCTTGTGTCCCCTCCGTGTCCCCTCCCGCAGCCGCCGTGACCTACTCGAAGCCGCGCCTGGCCACGTTCTGGCGCTATGCCAAGGTGGAGCTGGTCCCGCCGACCCCCGCCGAGACCCCCCGCGCCATCGACGGCATGAAGGGGCTGGTCCGGGCCTTCCAGAGCGGCCGCCTGGCCCAGCTCACCGTCAAGGTACCGCCGGGGCCGGGGAGCCCCAGCCAGAGCCTCTTAGCCGCCCTGGAATCGGCCTAGGAAGCAGTGCGGCGTTGTCAATGACACCCGAAGCTGAAGGAATTCAGGGGCCGAGAGTTTAAAGTGTTTTATTTTGTCGGCTTTGCCTTAAGTCTTCCCTGCCCGGACCAGGCTGTGCTTGCCCTCCTCGGGCCCCCAGTTGTCTCTCCCAGAGAAGGGAGTATCCGTAGGCAGCTGGATCAGCCGTGTCATTGGTTGGCTTTGAAATTAATGTGCTTCCCATGTGTATGGGCTCTGATTCTTGAAAGGGCTGTGAAAACCCACAAACGACAGCTGACGCTGTGCTGGGTGTTGTAGAAGATCTCTGTGGCCTGGTGTGTTGAGGGGTGGCTGAACACAGCAAACATTCTGCTCCATTCCTGGGTTTTTGCCTTGAGAACTCCTGAAGTCCCAGCCCTGCTGGAGGGCATGGATGTGGTGTGGGAGCAAGGGAGGAGCTGTTGTGGGAGTCTGGGATCTGACCAGTGCCTGTTTGCTTTCAGGAAGCGCTGAGGAACGGCCTAGTGGCCACAGAGGTGCTGATGTGGTTTTACATCGGGGAGATCATCGGCAAGCGCGGCATCATCGGGTACGATGTGTGAACACCCACCTGGCCTGGCCGGTGCCATCAGCATTGCGGCGCCGGGTCTGTCACGGGGTCTGCCACAATAAAGCCAGAAGCCCATGTTGAGCGGTCGTGGTCCATGTCTGGCACCCTGAGGGCCAGTCCCAAGGGCACCAGAGCTGCCTTAGTGACACCACTGTTGGTCACCACAGCTCTGCTCACTCTGGGGCACCCACTGTGCCCCGGCCGTGACGCTGGGGGAGGCCTGAGACCTCAAATTCAAATGGAGAGTGCAAAAGAAAATGTTCCATTTTTTCCTGAATGCACTCCCCATCAGCTAGTGGGAACCAAGGAGAAATGCCTGTGCTTTTTAGCTATCAAAAGCAATCTCTGTGGCTTATTCCAGAGGGAGTGTAGCATGGTTACAGGGGGCTCTGCTGGTCTGGGATCTGACTGGTGGAGTGGAAGCCTGTGAAGGTAAGCAGAGCTTTGCTGCATGTGTCACCTCAGCTCCCCACCAGCCGGAGGTTGAGCTGCCCAGGGTTTCACTACCTTGCTCATTGTCAGCCAGCTCTTGTAGAGGTCTGTACAAATCCTGGTGAGTCACCTGCACTATAACACATTTCAGAAAGTAATTTGTAGTTCTCTGAAGCCAGCAGATGGTTTGGATGGGACCTCACTGATTTTATTGTCTTGGGAGATGGTTTCTAGTCAGTATTGCTCCTTGTTGATGCTATCATCTCAGCTGCTCCTTGGCTCCTCTAGGCCTTTTGTTGTGCACACCAGTGACCCTGATGTCTCTAGGGTGACTGTGCCAGGAGCATATCATTTACTGCTCTCCCTACAGCAGAACTGACCTTCTCAGCACTTCATTCCAGCAGGAAGAAGCCTTGTGGCCTGCTGAGAGGGAGTGCAGGTGATCTGACATTCTTTAGGTGACCAGGAGGTTGGTGTAGAATCAATGAATGGAAAGCTTTAGCTTTGTTTTTGGTTTTGTTTTTTGGGTTTTTTTTTGTTAAAAAGAAGGTTACTGTCCCAGCTCTGAGTCATAACCAGTTATAGGTCATCTCTGTGCCGTAGATGGGAAAACTGAGGCTCAATGAACTCCCCAGGCTTCCACAAGGGAGCCTGCAACAGCAGCAGCAACAGGACCTGTGCTTCCAGCCCCCTGCCCAGCCTGGGTTCTGCGCTCCCTTCTCCCACCAGCCTGGCCAGGGCACCACAACTGCCTGGCACGGCCCGACAGCAGCAGCCCTGGAGGGGTCTTTATACCTGCTGGGTGTCCTGCCTCTGCCAGGGACAAACAGCCTCCCTCCCGTCCTCGGTCCCTCCCTGCCCTCATCTGACGGACTTCCAAGGAAAATGGGTATTTTATGTTCCCAAGCAGAGGGTTTTACACCCGATCCGTGCGTTTGCAGCGCTGTTTTCAGGGAATACAGCGGGCAGTTGCTGGATGTTACCCCTGTTCGCGCATTGCTGTACAGGAGGGGCTGCCAGCCCCGTGCCATCGCCGACACCTCCCTCCCGGGGGTGGCACCCGGCGGGACGCGGCACCGGCCGGGCGCGGGGCCGCAGGTAGGGCATGGCCGGGGCCGGGAGGGTGGGGCGGAGCCTCCTGCCCGCGGTCCCACAGCTCGGAGCCGCGGTGCCCCGCAGGGAGCGGCTCCTCCCGGGCTCGGGCCGCCGCGATGTCCCGGGCGGGCTCCGGTGGGTCCGGCGGCGCGGGGCCTGCGGGTGATGCCATGCCGGCGCGGGGCCTGCGGGTGATGCCATGCCGGCCCGGGGACGCGCCCCGCGCCGCCCCGTGCCCCGCATACGGCCCTGCGCTATGCAGGGGGCAGGCGGAGCCGCCTATTCGTATACGCTGTCCCGGGCGCCGGCGGCTCACGCTCCCGCTCGGCATCGCTGAGGGGGTTATGCCGGCTTCTTGCGGCGTGGTTATACGGCAGGCAGGTTCCGGGGTTCGACCACGAGGAGCCCCGCGCCTGCATGCCCGTGCGAGCTATGAGGGGTCGCGGCGGCCGGAGGCTGCGCTATCCAGGACGGGGGGCCGCGCTGTGTCTCGGGCCCGGGGCCCTGTATATCGCCCAGCGTTATGCCGGGATCGCACTGGTCGAGCATGGCTTATTCAGGTGCTCGGGCGGTGGGATGGCGGAGCCCCGCAACCTGCATTGCGCCCGCCGTTATGCAGCGCCTCCGCGGGCCGGCGAGGCGATATGCAGGGCGCGGGGCGCGGCCCGGCCCCGCTCTCTGGCTCGTCGCCTCTCAGTAAAGATGGCGCACAGCGGTCGGTGGCGCTTCCCCGCCCGGCCCGGCAGCGGTGGCTGGGGCCGCCGCGGCCCGGGGGGGTCCCGCCTGCGGGTGCCGGCCGTGCACAGCCTGCGGCCCGCCGAGCCCGCGGCGGCGCCGGCGGCGGCGGGCGAGGGTGAGCGCGGCGGCCCGTGCTCCGGCGGGGCGGCGGGAAGCGGCGGAGGCGGGGCAGCGCCGGGCCCCGCGGCCGCGGCCGGTCCTGGCTTCGATGCGGCGCTCCAGGTCTCGGCCGCCATCGGCATCAACCTGCGGCGGTTCCGCGCGGCCTGCGGGGCCGAGGCGGGCAGCGGAGAGGTGAGAGGGTCGGCGGGGCGGGGGCGGGGGCGGGGGGGGCGCGGCGGGCGGGCGGGTCCCGGGCGCAGCATCCCCGGCGGCGGCGGCGGCGGCCCGAGCACACCCGGGCACACCCACCCAGCCCTGCCCGCACAGCCCGCCCGCCGCCGGACACACCTCCCGCGCCCCGCACAAAGGGCGCGCCCCGCGGGGGGGGGGGCGGCGGGACCTGGCGGGCGGGGGTCGATGCCAGTCCCGCTCTCGGTCCCGCCGCCCCCGCGGTCCCTCCCCGCGCACGCGACTTGCCGCCGGTGCGTCCTCCCCGCCGCCGCCTCCATTATCCGCCTCCCGCCGCTCCCGCGGCGGGGCGGGATGGGATGGGATGCGGAGCGCGCATCCCGCCGCCGGGAGCGAGGTAGGATGGATGGAGCCGCGGGGCTCCCCGTGCGGAGGATGCTCGGCGGGGTGACGCGTCCTTCCTCGGGCTCGACCGCTCGGAGGGCCGCGCTGTCAGCCCCTCCTGCGGGCCCGGCGGTGGGCGCCGCGCACCGGCTCTCCTCCTCCTCCTCCTCTTCCTCCTCCTCTTCCTCCTCCTCCCTTTCGCTGCCGTGGATGCCCAGGCGGAGCCCGGGGCGGCGGGCCCGGTGCGAGGCCGTTTGCTGGCACACGGAGCGCTGGCTCTCCTTTTTTATCTTTTTTCTTTTTTTTTTTTTTTCTGAGTTGCTCTTCTTCCTGCCTTCATTTTTATTTTTTTTAAGGCTTGCTAAGGCAGCCGGAGCGGGAGTCTGACAACAACCCATCTATTGACAGAACAGGGAAGACATGATGGGGGTGTGTTACTTACTACGAGCTACAGCGATGTTTTGCATCGCTCGTTGGCTGCGTCCTTGCGCCGGCAAGAGAATTCCCTGAGTCCTTTGTAGCAGGAGGGGTCTGTGGGGTTTTGAAGGGCCAGTGCTGTCTCTTCTTCTCCAGGCAGGGTGTCAGTTGCAGGGTGGGTGAACATATCTTTGTCTCTATTTTGTCCATTTAAAGAGCAGTTGCTTTCCTTTTCCGTCGCTGGCCGAAGCAGAGTTTATTATTTATACGGTTTTCCCGTGTCTTTCCGGCTTCGTTTTGGCATTTTCTGTTGGGTGCCATGAAGTGGAGCTCTTCGCTCGCGGCTGAGCTGGAGGAATTCCTGGGCTGCAGAGCAGCAGCTCCCGCGGTGCGGGAGGGACGGGGTTGTGTTTGCACGCGCAGAGCTGAGCGTGGGGACAGTCCTCCCCTCACCTGCACGGACTTTGGGGTGTAGCTCGCACTGCCCTCTCATTAACACCGGCACCTCAGGGGCTGTGCTTTGGGATAATTGTCCGTGTTGCTGTTTGAAGTAGACATGGCTCAATGGAATTCACCGAGTCCTCTGGGAAGCAGTTAATATCTCACCAGCACTAGTTCAGGGGCAGAAATGACTGAGATCTGGCTAACCAGGCTGACCACAGACTTAACAACCGGGGAGGTTTTCATGTGGGGGAAGGCAAGTTGCTTTGTTTCTTTTTTTTCTTTCTTTTTTTTCTAAGATGACATTGGTCTGTGGTTTGTTTGTTTAATTTCAATTGTCTTAAAGTTTATTTTTGCATTTCAAAAAAGCTCCAAAACATATTTGAGATATATTTGTGAGTTTGGCCTTTAGGGCATTTTTGCATTAAAATAAAATAGCTTGCATGCATTCTAGGCGTGGCAGCTGTTGAGCACAGGGTCTCTTGGATCTTAAGAACTCTGCTTCTTACATCACTTTTCTATTTAGCTCATAAAAACTTCTGTCTAATAACATTGCATACAGTGGAAAGTAATGATAAACATTGCTTTGTGGCTTGGTGTCTGTAGGTTGAGCTTTACCTGACCCCTTGTGAGCCAGGCGGGGCAGACCCCAGGTGCTTTCCCTCACTCTGGATTTACAGCATGTGCTGGCACTCTGAGGTGTACTCAGAGAGCAGACCCTCACAAATATTCAGATTAACTCAGTTGGTTCCTCTCCTTTGGTGATACTTAAGAAACAAAGCATTTTTGCATTGAAGGATGTAGTTCTCCTGGCCAATGAGTTTCTCTGCACTTATCGTGGTCCTAGTGAAGAACACACAGATGCTGCTGGTCACCAGAAGCTGTAGCACAAGCTTTTCTATCCTGCAGTACAAGTTCTCCGTGGGGGTGGGAGTAGGGTTGTGAAAAGAGCTCTGGCACATATAGGAAATCAGCACGTGAGTGCCACCAGTGGTCTCTCTAGAGGACAGGGCAGCTGTGTGCAGTGTGGGAACCCATGTGGTACCCGCTCTGGGCAGAGATGTTCTACTAGAAGGGGGCTTTCAGAAGTCCCCTTTGTAGTAGGGCTCACTATGCCCTTCCAATAACTACCTGGTGCTCACACTGTTCACTTCCACAAGGTTGAGGGTCTTACCTGAACCAGGCTAGTTACAGTCTTCAGCTGGGTTGACATTCCGCATCAGGAATAAACTTGGAGCAATTGCTTGGAGGTCAGGAGCTGGTGGGGATTAGAGGAAATACTC